GTGTCGGACCACCTGTGTCGTCTCCAACGGCACCCATAGTCACCGAGCGGGTCTGTGTGTGTGTGTGTGTGTGTGTGTGTGTGTGTGTGTGTGTGAGAGAGAAAGACACTGAAAGGAAGCATCCATATCTGGTTCATCACAGTGAAATAAGAGCTAATCACAGTGCTTTTGCCTGTGAATGTTGGAGCTTTTGTTCCTGCTTTTTAGCGCGTCATAAGCGTGTACTTATTTAGCATGTGTGTCTTATTCCCAGCTGCTTGGTGCCTGTGCAGATATGATGTGAATTCAAAGGGAAAACAACTTCACACACACACAGCACATTTTCAGTAACTCAACAGTTCTAAGCATCTGAAGACAGCACTGCGGCTCCCACTGCATATCACAGCTAGGGCACAGTATGCCGTGTGATTGGTATTCTGGTCCATATTTTAAACTTAATTCAAATCCTCTGGAAAAGCCAGTCTTGTAATATTCTTCCCTAAGTTGCAGATGGATACCTGCTGGTTACTAAACACAATGAAATTCTGCCTACTAAATACAGACACACTGAGTCTCCTAAAACTATTCTTCTTGTGAAAGCTTTTTGTATTTTATTTTTATTTTATATATTATATTAATTTTTTATATTAATTTATCTGAGCCCTTTCATTCATATTGTCTTTCTCTATACTCATGTCCTTTGACTTTGAACACATTTGCTATGCCTTGTTTGGTTTTGTTTGCATGTGTAGAGCCATTTGTAACATTGCTAAGAGAAGTGCTATATCAATAAATGTATTTATTAATGTATTATTCCTCCCATTATTTTCCCAACTTCTTCACCTGTTCCAGCTTTTTCAGTGCAAAAATAATATAGTATTAAAAAAACGTGATCTCTCTTTTAGGGTCAACATTTAAGCCTCTGAATCCAGTGAAAAGACTAGATAAGAGCAGGAAGAGGGGCAGGAGGACCACCATCATGGGCATACCCAACCAGGTCCAGAAAGAGCTCGGTATGTCCACACATTCATCTTTGCTAAACTAATAGACTTCAAATATTGTTGGTGGTGAACTTGTTATTGATGGTATTATACCCTCTTTTCCAGCATTGCACAGAAGCTTCCAGCAGCTCGTTTCAACCCCGAATCATGACGGAGATCTCAGTAACAGCCAATCAGGCGTAGTTATCATTCCTACAGTTGATGGAGGGACTCCAGAAGCAAAAAAGGAGGGAGCAAGAGTGCACCTTTCAGAGCTAGAGGTAAACAGTTCTCCAGAATCCTTTCTTTTTACATGCATTACTGGTTTTTGTGATTTTTTTCACATAAGAATGGTCCTCACTTCACTCCTAAACAGGCATCCAGAGATGAACAGCTGCTGAGGAAGCAACTCCAGGCAATGTACCAAGACGAGCAGCCTTTCAACCACCAGGGCCTTGGCTCCTATCTCTGCCCCAACTCATCCATGAGACCCAAGTCCCTTGCAGTACCTGGCATGACCACTTCCTCCTCCTTCTGTCCTTCAACGATGTTAAGCTTCCTCCAGGAACGCCAGGTAAAATGTAATTCAGTTAGCTCAGGATACTGCTTTGAATTCAATCTTCTGTATTTTACCAAATCTTGAGTTGACCATTTAAGACAAATTCATATTTCTGTGTTGTGTTTCTAGGGCCCAGTGATGTCCATGTCTCCCCAGGCCACCTACATGTCTACAATCATCCCTAATGCAGTCTTACCCAGCTCGATTCACGTCATAGAGATCGACCGCAGCAGTAGCCGGATGCGTGGCGGCAGTGTAAACCATGGCAGTAGTGTCCGCACTGTAAGCAAGAGCAGTCTGGCATCAGGGGACTTATCAGTCAGCCCTTTTTTGTCCAGAAGATCCGATGGAGATGGTTCTCAGAGTGACAATTCCCAAAGCGAATCCACACTGATGCTAACATCTGCTTCAGGGTTGAACTGGAGCGAGACACAGTCTTCAAAGGTCATTATTTCAAACTCTTCTCCAGGATCTTCTAAGGGTAGCACGCGTAGTAGTAACTCACACAGAGCGGGACCGAATGGGCGGGAGAGCCAGGCAGAGCAGTGTAATGGGGACCAAGACATTGACAGTCTCCGTAGTTCAGTTAGCATGATCAGCAGCTTCAGCAGTAAAAGAGAAAATGTTACAGGTCAAGAATCTGAGTCTGATGTTTCAGGGTCAGTGGCTGCTGGGGTCGATGCAAAGACTAAACAGAATTGCACTCGCAGTCTGTCGGTTATGAAGACCAAGCAACCCCCGCCGCCTCCACGGAGAACAAACTCTCTGCATAGTAATAAGATCAAGAGTAACTCCAACGTTCTGGTGGAGATCAATGACTCTGATGGTGCAAATGCCACAGAAAACAGTATAGCACAAGATGAGAACAAATCAGTCAAGCTACAGAACTCCACTGGGTCAAGCTGTCTAGATGCTTCCTCCAGTCCTTTGAACCCAACACAGGCCTCTTCCACTGGACACAGCAGCTACTCCCCACAGAAAACTCCCTCAGACGGGGGGAAATTTGAACGCACCATGTCCCCTTCCAGCGGCTACTCCAGTCAGAGTGGCACTCCAACACTCACCCCAAAAGGGATCTCCCCAACCCCCCCTGACAAACAGAAGAAGAAACCTGTCAAACCGGAGAGATCGGTGTCTCGGGCCTCATCCTCAGCAGCTTCTCCTTGCTCCTCGCTTACCTCTCTATCTTCTGGTACATCTGAGCCTGTCAATCCAGATGCTTCCACATGTAGCTCCAGCCTGCCTTCACAGGGATCTCAACCCACTGTTGCAGCACATGAACTCACTCCGAATAACATTTCTTCAACTTTTGCAGCTGAAGTCAGAGAACTGTTGAAAATCCCTCCACCTCCCAAAGTCAAAGCGCCATGTCCTCCTCCTCCAGAGACATGGGTTCACAACAACCGCACCTTTCAGTTACTGTGTGGGCCAAACCCTAATGTCAGCAAAGTAATCCAGAACCCAGCGCAGAAACAAGACAGCACAGTTAAACAAGCAGGAACCCAGACTGAAGACATCAAGGAGATACCAGATTCAGTTGAAAAACAATCAACTATTTGCCAATCTGTTTTAGAAAGCCAAGTAAAACCTGAGATTTTGTTAGAAACAAGTTCTGAAGGTCTTAACAAGGAGATGGAGAATAGGGAATGTCCAAATAACAAACAAGAGGAGATACTAGTAAGTTCAGATGTTCAAAAACAAGAGCAGAGTAGTAAGCTTGTGGTGAAGGACCCTAAGAGCCCGAAGAAAGAGCCGCCTCCTGTCATGAAGAAACCAGTGACAGTACTGCACAAAGAGGAATTGGTGAAGAAAGAGAGTGTTAGTGCGTCTTCAGCGGTTCATTTCCCTGTTGAGAACCATACGACCACGTCTCAGCACGGGGTTATAATTGTCGTTGATAAGAGTGACAACGAAATGGCCAAAAGTGAGGTTGCATCAGTAGAAGTCCCCAAAATCACTAAGGTCTCGCCACCTCCTTCTCCCCCCCCGGCATACCACCCCACACCTCCCCTGTCAAGAAAGACGCCTCCTTCATCCGTGTCTTCGCCACCAGACGACTTACAGAGGGTGCAGGAGGAGAGCCACGTTGTGGAGTCTTGCTGGCCGCCCCCTCCACCTCCAATGGACGGAGACTCTGTGTTTGATGGAGGAGATGACGTTGACTTTCCACCACCTCCTCCGCCCTTGGTGACAGAAAGTCTAACAAATGTGATGGACAGTTGCGTCACAGATCTGGGTGAAACAAAAACACAGACGGTGGAGGATAAAGAGACTATTGATGATTCGAGTGAAGCCAACACATCTGCACATGGACAAATTGCAGACGTGCCCCCTGCGGTACCACAAACAGTAACGGACATCGAACCAGAGTTTGTTGTGCAAGATTCAGAATCCAACATTGCAGAAGATACTATTTGCAGACCAGTGCAGAGTTTAGTATCTGTTTCAGACTGTGTCCAATCTCCACCAGTCGTGGAAACTCTTTTGGCATCCATTACAAAAGCAGATCACCCAATGTTGGAGTCTACTTTGGTTCCTCCAAGCAGTTCCCTGAAGCAAGACTCTCCCAAACTTGAAGATCAGTCTCCCAACGAGGCTCCCGTCAGCGCCAAACTTCCAGTTATTGTCCCAGTGTCACCGCCTCTACCAGCAGAGAGTTTGACCCAAGGGGTTAACTTCAGACGGCAACCAGGCGTACCAAACCGAGACGCCAGAAGCAAGGAGCTCCTTTCCCGCCACAAAAGTGCACTCATTCCTAAAGAGGACGCTAACATACCTCTGGTGACCCCTTCCCTGCTTCAGATGGTTCGTCTCAGATCGGTCAACATGACTGAAGATGTGGTGAAAGCGGAGGGGGAGGACAAAACAACAAATCAGGGAGCTTCAGTTCAGGACAATTGCCCAGTCTCAGTCACAGGAGCTCAGAACATTCCACAGAAGCCCATCCGCAAGTCTTTGTCACTAAAATCCCCCCCTCAGTCAGTAAAGACATCCTCGGTCGCCCCTTCCATGCGCTTACAGGAAGCCATACGTATGAAAACGGCCGCCATGTCTTCAAGAGGTGGTCTCCCATCCCGACTGGGCGTTAGATCCACCTACAGCTCTCTCGGGGAACATGGCGCTCTGTCGTTGAAATCAGCCGAGGGATCTGAAATGCTCAAGACTCCAGCCTCCACCGCCAGTTTTATCTTCTCCAGGAGCACAAAGAAAGTTGTGATAGAGACTCCAGCTGCTTCCTCCCCTGAAGCTCAGGTGAGTCTGAAGCAGAGTTTGGCGGCCGAACTCATGCAGGTGTCTGACCAATCAAAGGCCACCGTTTATTCCAATGGCGGGGTGAAGTTGGACAGAGCTCCTCCACCGGTGGCAAAGAAACCAGCCTCTGGGAGCATCAGCCCTCCACCCAGTGCACCTGCTGGTTCATCGAAGACGGACTTCGGTGTTGAAGGGAACGGAGCGATAGGAGCAGTGCAACATACGAGTGGAGTAACGCATCCTGAGATGACAAGTAAGAGCAAAGAAATTATCTGTTACTAGGCATGAGATGAGGAAAATGTCATACTCAAATACTTGCAATATTATCCCCGTAATCATCAAAATATGCTAAAAACCCTTAAAAAATAACAATTAAAGAAACTGGTGTCACTTTACCTTACATTTTGTTAAGAAAGGACACATATTTTTAAACAGAAGAAAATACATATATATTCAGGTCTCTCTAAATAATTAAGCAATCAATACATTTAAAAATATAATTATAAAAAATATAAAATATATGGGATTGCTTTGTGTTTGTTCTTTCCTTTATTTATTAAAAATCTCTATTTTCTATTTATTAACCATTATAGCAGGCTTGACAGCTTTCTCAAGTCACTCGTGAGGATATTTACGAGTGTCGCAATAATGGGCATTCACCACAATCAACTTATTTTCTGTGTTTGTGTCCTGATCCGTGACAAAATCCTTCTTACCCCATCCCTATTTGTTTCTATGATTTTCTGTCATTTGCTAAGTCATGACATACAGCCTTCATCCGTGTGTTTGAGCGATCTGCTGCTGAGTGTGTTAACTCAAAACTGCTAATTCAGTACGAGCATCAATCAATAGCTACCTCTCGTCATGAAAACACAAAATGCTAATTCTACATTACCATGATCCTGAACGGCTAAGCAGTTCTTTATTGCCTGAAAGCGTTCTGTTGTTTTTGCCATGCATACCAACAAGAGAAACTGCAGACGCAAGCCCCATTTGAACACAAACACAATAGAAACACTGCTGGCTTTTCCTTCAGCTTTTTTCCCAGTTAAGTCTGTCAACATGTGCTTCAATCAGCCTTACCCTGAAGCTTCTGATCCTGTCTCTGTGACTATATTGCATACGGACAGAATACGCATTATGTGTGTTCACTGTATTATGTCGATGCCATCATGTCTTACCTCACCTTTTCTTCTCTCTTCAGCTACGAGAGTGACAGCGGACACAATTGAAACACTGTTTTGAAGACTTCAAGCGACTCACAGCAAGGACTGACATCACTGAAAGACTTCAACTCAACTAGAGTGTGTCTCCATAAAGCCTTAGCCTGTAACGGCCTTCCTACATATTTATGCAAAAAAGAACATGTCGCTCCCAAATTTCTAATGATAGCTTTATTCTGGAGTATTTTTCTAAGCTATAGTTGATCTCTTATTGTCCCCCTCAGGATGAAATGGTGTACATTGGCCTAACTGTAAATATCGAGCTTGTGTGAGATCGCCTCCCAGAGGTAGGGTTAGGTAATGGAGCTCAGAGAAAAGGATTTATCCATGATAGAGCTTTTTCTGTACAGAGGTTTACTGTCTATTAAGTCTTTTTTTGCTTGTTGTAATATAATACATAATTAGGCAGTGGTCAGAAGATGCTGACGATGGCATCTGCTTTAGAATAAATGGACATTTATATCACCAAGATCAGAGAAAACTCATCGTTAAAGGTGGGTTAGGTAATTCACTTCAGAAACACTTGTTATATTCCACGGAATGCTCTTAAAATCCCGATAGCAATGAATACATGAAATGCTTTGACGATAAATACATAAACACATTTCATCTGTGGAAGCCGTGGCGCTGTAAAAAGCACGACCAGTTTTTTAGCCTACCTTCCTGTCAGCCTTCCATCTCTGCACAAATGTATCTCGTGCCCTCATATTGGTCATGTGCGCGTTCGTGTGGGTTGGAGGAGGGGCTCTGTAAGGAAGTCTGAAGGAAGGGGCAGATTTTTTTCGGCTGCGTAGTTTCAAATTCTAGCGCACTCGAGCTGGTTTCTCCATTCTTACCTACCTTTAAATTCAGTTTTACTCCTGCTTTTTTTAACTTCGGATAGCTATATCTGGAAATGTAATAGAGAAAGATAAATGCTGCACAATAAAAAAAAGTAAGATGATTGTCAACAGAGACACTTTTGTAAAGCTACAGATTATAAACCATTTAAAAAGCATCTGATTACAGCAGCTGTCTTTAGAGGCTTCTACACAATCTGCACAATCTGTTCCTGGGTTTAGTAAAGGTCAATCCATTCTGAGAAACACGTCAGGACAACGGTAACACGAGCGTCCTATTTATTTATGTGTGGTTCTTTCCACTTGTAGCACTGTCGGTCACCTTTTCCTACCAAATATGAAATATTTTAGTTTCATCTGACAAACCGCTCTTAGGGCTCTAGCTGTGATGTAGCCCGGGATGATTGATACACTGGAGTAGCTGAGTGTGAGGTCAGTGTTTTTATTAAATGTGCTGCATCTAAAACTGTGGCCCAAGCCTTTTTTAGTGGAAAATCCAGCTTATCACTATTTGCACAGAATGCTTTCCCCCAGCAAAATCATCAGAGTGAATTATACTGACTCTTCGTAAAGGGTCACCAATCTTGATGATTATAAAGAATTATGTACAGTTATTACTTCTATAAATAAAATGTAAGTGTATTAAAAATACATCTCCCTGCTTTGTTTCTTTAATGTGTGTACGTGTCTCTTATATATCACAAGTATATTTCATTTCACACAATTCAGCCAGTGTTTATTCAATGTTAAAGATGATGCATCATTTATTTATGACAGCTAATGAGCAGATATTGATTTCTGTACACTATCCTCAATGCAACCGTTCTGTTTTATAACACAGCCCTGACATTAACCATGAAGGCGATTTAAATCAAGAAAAGCATTAAAATATTAAGTCCCTTTTCACCTGACATCCTTATCAGCTACTTCCAGGAAACAGTTCTTTAATAAAAGGTACCCTTCATAATCTGAGTAGCTGTATATCTCTTTTGCAGAAACTGTTTTTGTATATTTAAGTGTGTTAGGAACACCATACAACACCAGATAAAAACAGAAACAGTAATGAAACACAGGATGATTAAGTGCATTTCTATTTAAAAGATGAAATGTTCTGATAAACTCAAAGCAAGGTAACAGGGTTTGTCGAAGCTCGCACAAAGAGACTTTTGGCCTTGATGTCCAAGAAGACAAAAGAGATGAAGTTTGACCAATGTTGAAGTGGTGATTTGTTGAGTCTTGTTTGTAAAGCAGCCGACAGGAGAAGCTTCAGAGGTGACTGTAAAGTTTCTAGCTGATGTTTCCTCCTTTGAGTGTTTTACATGTGATCTGTCCCAGTTTAGTCATCAGCTGGTTGTCTTTCCACTGAGCTACACACTCGTCTGATATCTTCAGATCAGCCTGGAAAGACAGACAAAATAATATATAAACAAATGACACATTTTATCCCAATAAGCCGTTATTACATCACAGAAACCTCATAAAACACATTGGTCCAAATTGGATTCTTAACCCCTAGATGCATAAGTGGGTTTTTTTGACCCGGTGATGTGGTTTTCTTAGAGTAACTTTGTAATTACATTTTTTTATCATTTCATATTCCAGCTATTCCTCAAAAAACATGTTTTGGATATCATGCCATTCAAATTTTAAATTTACATTTTAATAAATTGTAGTTTTTGTATTACTACCCCAAGCTTCCATAAGTGGGTCAAAAATGACCCGCATGCATTTTCTATGGAATTACATTTTTTTTTCAAAATGTAAAAAAAATTCAAAAATTAAATAAAAAATATTTCTAGTGTGAACCAAAATATAATACTAAATATTCTACAAGTGATTTTTTCTTAACCAAAATGACAAAAATGGCATAAAAACACATTATTCTAATACGGGTCCTTTTTGACCCACTTATGGGAGAGTGGGTCCAGTCACTCGTGCATCTAAGCCGGGTTAAGAAAAACGAGTTGTGCTTTTAAAATCTGAGTGAGACCCACCTGTACTTTCTCCCACACTTTCTTCTTTGGGTTGAGTCTCTCGTCTGGTTCTCCCGTCTCGTATCCCTCAACGAAGACCCGGTCTCCAGGCGACGACCCCTCTGGAGGGTCGAGAGGCTCCACCCTCCTGGGCTCCCCTTCACTAGAAATCAGATACAAGAGAGGAATTTTACACAAATACAAACAAAACGAGGGATGGCTGTGTCTCTTGCTACAAAATCAACTTTCCATTCAGAACATAGGGGTGCTAAATTCAGGATCCACAGCAGTCCACTGAGTGCTAAGGAAGGCGATGTGGCAGGAAAGAGTAAGGGGGGATTAGATTATCAACTTTGATTATAGAAAAAAGACAGAATTAAACAAAAGGTAACATTTATTTTTGCAACACTGCAAAAACTAAAAAAGTTTCACTTTCAAAATGTTAGTATTTTCAGATTTCTCAGTGCCCTCGAGAAGAAAAACTGGTTCTTGATGTTGACGCGGCAATTGTTTTATTCCCAAAGTACTGAGACTATCTACTGCATTTTATCTAAATGTTTTTTCAAAATAACATTTCTTAAAGATCCCCTATTATACTGATTTTCATCAATATATCATAGCTCTCAGATATATACAAAACATGTCTCTGAAGCGTTTGGCTCCAAATCCCAAACAGATCATTGCAGCATTACCCATAATCACCTCTGTTTCAAAAGTGCTGATTCTCTGTCTGTTACTTTAGATGAAAATAAGGAGCCCCTCCCCACGCCCCTCTGAGAGAGATTTCTTACAAAGAACACCCATGGTGCCTAGGAGGGAGACTCAAGGTGAGCTAAGGTGTGTGTGTGTGGGGGGGGGGGGTTACCTTGTCTGTGATTGGCTAATGGTTACACAAGCCAAAAAATCGTTATGACATCATAAAGTGGCCAAAATCTGATCAGCTCATTTTCAGACAGGTTTTTATAGAAATGGATCAGGACAAAAAGAGAGAGAACTTTTTTCCTGAATCTTTCAGAGTCTCTTTACAGAGGGGACACATGTTGATGTATGAAAGACATGAAAAAGTGGATTTTGCACAATAGGTGACCTTTAAGTTTTTAATTGATTCAGAATTGTAGATGACAATATCAAGATATTGTGTTTTGATTTCCCCCCCCCCCTCCATGAAGGAATGTGTGTGTGAAACAGAGAGCACACTCACATGGAGGCACACAGCAGCATGGCCTGAGACTCGATGCCTCTCATCTTCTGGGGCTTCAGGTTGCAGAGCACCAGCACCAGCCTGTCCTGCAGCTCCTCCTGAGAGACAAACGCCACCAAGCCGCTCACCACCGTCCTCGGCTCCGCCTCCCCCACATCGATCTTCTCCAGGTACAGCGAATCAGCATCCGGGTGCTGGGATCCAGAAAAAAAAACATGTGAACAAAGAGAGAGAGGCTTGTTCATATGGAAAAAACAATAAAAATAGTTATTCAGGCATCAAGTGAGGATTTGAACGTCTTACCTTCTCCACACTGATGATCCTGCCCACCCTGATGTCCACTCTGGAGGGGGACAGATCATCATCATCTCCCCCTCCTCCTCCTCCTCCTCCTCCTGCTCCTGCCTTGGCACCTTTCCCTGCTGCTTCTGATCGATCGGACACACACACACACACACACAATGGTTAGCTAGTTGACCTCCTTATATGCATACATACAGAACCAGCCACACTGCAATTTCCCGCATTAAGAGAGGGAAAACAGAGAGGATGATGGGTAAAATACTGACTCGTCTTTGAGGGGTAGGCGGTGTTGGAGAGTTTACGCAGCTCCGGGGACTCAAACTTCTTTCTGATTGGGTCCAGCAGCTGGTTCAGTGACACCTCCACGGAGGCCTTCAGGTCTCCTGGATGCACCGACTAATACATTAAAGATAGCCAATCATTAGATTAAACCAGTGAGAAAACAATCAGGGATAACTTTAAGAGGGGCTTTTATTCTGTAAATGAAGCAGCGTGTGTGAACTCTACCTCCGCTGCAAAGTCCTTTTCCAGCTCTTCAAACACAGTGTAGGTTTTGTCTCCGCCCCACTTGGGGTCTCTTTTGATGGAGAACTCTGAAACACATTTACAAATCACATTTGATCAGACTGACGCTTTTATCCAAACATGAGGATACACCTTCAAAACAGAGATACATCAGCTGCAAATAAGCCAAAACGTTTGAAGTGCTTCCTCCAGACATGGGATTTTCTTTCAATTTAAATTTAAATTTGAATATTCCTAATATATTCTTACTGTATATATTTGTGCTGTGGAGGAGGTCCTGTCTTGTTCCTCAGACACGGTGTCCCAGTGGTTGCACAGACTTTTATTGCCCATTTTTACTTTATTTTATTCAATTTTATTTAGTCAGAAAACCTAATTTACCCAAGGAATAAATCAAGTATTCTGATATATTTGATACGATCAGAGTCTGAAGCCGAGGAGCAGAGTTTTTTCTCACCTCCGCGCAGAGGGAAGACGACATATTGGACGAAGGAGAGGACTCCGTTGTTCTCGATGTTTCCCGGCTCACAGAAAGCTCTCTTCAGCTTCTTCTTCACGTCTCCAGCCGAGTCCAGCAGATCGATCTTTGACTCCTGCAGCCAAACACATCATGTTAAGACCGACCACAAAACATTAGGAGAAATTATTCATAGATGAACTCTTTTTGACAGTGACATACTTCCTCTGAGGAGCTCATCTTGGCGCCCGTAAGGCCAGGTACCATCCGGTTCATCAGGTGGGAGCGCTTAGCGTAGCCCAGAGAGGGTAGGTACTGAAGAGAGAGAGAGAGAGAGAGAGAGAGAGAGAGAGAGAGAGAGAGAGAGAGAGAGAGAGAGAGAGAGAGAGACAGTTACTCTTTAAGTTTTATACAGATCCCATTATGAAAAACTGTCTGTAACACCTGTAACTTGAAAATGAGATAAGTAAATAGGTTTTAAGTAAAAGAACATTAACACACTCCCAGCTTTTCCTAAACTAATCAAGTTACACAAGAGCTAAGAGGAATGTGTTAAAAATGAAAGAAAAGGGGTGAGTTATGTAGGGAGGAAAGAGGGTGAGGAGTTTGAAATAAAGGAGGCAAAGACTGAGGGAGACGGTACCTTCTCTGCCAGAGTGAAAATCTTCCTCTGGTCAACGCCTCCAAACTGGGCGTCGCACTTTAGGTACTCCTCATCCAGAGCCTGAAGGCAGATAAACATATTTAGTTCACAACCGCAAATATAACTTTGAATGACAAATTACAAAACAAGTTTAATCAAGATCTGTAAGTGCACGCAGGAGCATATACACTAGCTGAACTGACATTTTATTTTTCCAAAATACCACCATTCATCATAGCCACAAACATTCAAAATGTTCTTTGGATTTCCCTTTTTACAACGGTCTTTGAACTAATCACATGTGACAACACTTTATTCTACAGAAATCATTCCAAATGCGACAAAAACTAACTATTTGCATGTAGAGCACATGCAGCACGATGATGGCATTGTGCCTGTGTTACACAATACAAACTTAACCTTTGAGTTATTGTAGAAATGAGTGTGCTGTCTAGTGTCCACTTAAAGGTACACACAACATCTGGGTTACTACAGTGTGATTACCTGCAGTCCAGGGTAGAGCAGGCCGCTCAGCAGCGGATGATCCAC